CTAAAAAGGGTTATATTTATCAATAAAATTGTTACAAATCAATTGGATTTCATTCAAATTCCTAACAATTGAAACCCCATTTTACGTGACCACATTTATCATCTCTGGGACACGACACGATTATCATCGTAAAGACACATAATAATTGACGATTTTAACATATTATCTAAATGTCATCAACAATTTGGGTCTAAATTTGAAAAGAAATAAAATATATCGTAATTCATAAATTACAAAAATCGTAATAACGAAAAAAACATAATAACATTTTTAAATATTAATAATTAATAATATTAATACAATTTGAACAACAGATATTTTTATAAATTTGTAAAAAGATCAATGATGTGAATATTTTTTGCTATAAACCTGACAACCGAATACTCTATAATTTTCAAATCTAAAGTGAATCCGAATAACGCTGTATATATTCGGATTCACTTCAGATTTTAAAATTAAAGAAAAACAAATTTTAGTTGATTAAAATAAAAATTAAAGTCTACAAATTAGTATAAAATCTTATTTTTTTACATAAATTATTATTTTGTTTTTTAATTTATATAGTCAATTCTCTTCTTGTACAGTTTATCTTTATGCGGTTTTAAAGTTCCTTGATTAGTCCGGTTATTGGTCGAACCGTTTACTCGCACTATGTGAGATATTACTGTATACACGTATTCTGGTTTTACCATTTTAACATCAATCTTTAAATTGATAACATTTTTATATAAAGATTATTATAATAGGTACTAATAGATAATTTGAATATTCAACATTCCTGATTAAATTGATGGTTTAATGTGTAATGAGGAAATTTTAAATGATACAAAAAAATCGTCTTTGAAATTAATTTCTACTTTCTAAATTCCACTATCATCTTAAACTCAATCTTCAACTATATAACAATCAATTAAATATGCAGAATATTAAATCCTCCTATAATAAAGTACTCTCATAATGCAGTTCCCGTACAACGCGAAACAAAAATTGCAAAAGATCCCGACAAACATAATCCCGACAATATTAAAATCTCGACAACCATAATCCCGACTGTATCAAAATCCCAACTATATCGAAAATGTCTAGAATAACATTTTTAAATTATTCCGGAGCGTAGTGACTTTTAAATTGTTATTAATAATAAATAATAACAATTAATAATCTAATTGTATCTGATATTATTTCATAATGTTAAAGTTTATTATGAATAATTCAAAAAAAATAATTAAATTAATAATAATAAAAGTGTAGCACAAGGTGACTACGCTCCCAAATAATTTAAAAATGTTATTGTAAAATTTTTCGATAAAGTCGGGATTATGTTTGTCGGGATTATGGTTGTCGAAATAATGATACAGTCAGGATTTTGATATAGTCGGGATTTCGATACAGTCGGGATTTCGAACGTCGCGATTTCAATAGACGGTCTTTCGGTTGTCGGGCTTGCGATTGTTTCATGTGAGATAGATGGCCGGAAAAAATAATAAAATTAAAAAAAATACTTGTTACTCTTACAAATTACATATTTTACTTATAACTGATCATCGATCTTGAGATTCTTGTACGTCCTTAACAATTACTATTATATTTTACAGGATTATTCCAGAACACAAATCCTAGTGCCATCTAACAATCAATGAAGAAACCACAAGATTTGTGATAAAGAATCAACATTACATAAAAAATTCCTACTTATGTATGACGTAAAACATAACCAATAAACTTGATAAAGTCACGAACTTAACCTGTCGGTCGGTGTGAAAGAGGTTCATACAAACATTTTACAGAAAAGATGTCTTTAATTGGGGCAAGAACTCTTATGAAATGCGGGCAACTCATCAATGAAACGTTTTTATTGAACATCAGGTATTTTCTCATTCTTCAAGCAGTAAATGAATTTCTTACCAGAAATCCAATATTACAGGAGTGCAACCCATTTAAAAAACATCCAGAGGCACAACAATACAGCAGCCGCAGATGAGAAACCAAAAGCAGCAGAAACAGCTGAGGCTAAACCAGTCAACGAGGAAGTGGAGAAACTGAACAAGGAGATTTCTGAGCTCAGTGAGAAGAACAATGAACTGATGGTAATTAATCATTACATAACTATTTTTGTTTAATTGACTTTTCCAGTCATTGTGTTGACAGTTTTGTAACTGTTCAAAAATGAGCTTGAAGAAGTTGCAAATTTTCAGTATGCTATTGCACAATTTTGAATCATTCATTCATAAATTTTGGTATAGAGATAGGGTCAATTTATATGAAGCTTTATTCTGAAAATGAAATTATAATATTTAACTTTTTTGTTATAGGATAAGTACAAAAGGGCATTGGCTGATGGTGAGAATTTGAGGAACAGATTGACCAAACAAATTGGAGAGGCCAAGCAATTTGGAATTCAGAGTTTCTGTAAAGATTTGCTGGATGTAGCTGATGTCCTGAATAAAGCCACAGAAAGTGTACCAAAAGAAGAGGTAAACAGCAACAATCCACACCTGAAAAGCCTGTATGAAGGTTTGGTGATGACAGATGCACAATTACAATCTGTTTTCAAGAGGCACGGTTTGGAGAAAGTGAACCCTGTAGATGAAAAGTTTAATCCCAACTTCCATGAAGCCCTGTTCCAACAGGTAAATACTCTTAATTTAATGGATAAGATTGCATTTCTATACTAATACTTAATGTTTTATAGGACGTTCAAGGCAAGGAGCCGGGAATTGTAGTGGTAGTTTCTAAGATAGGTTATAAATTGCATGATAGAGTGGTCAGGCCTGCACTTGTTGGAGTATCCAAGTAAATTTAAATGTAATTAGTGAAAAGGACGGTTATTTTTGTGATTTAATTATATAACAGAAAATAACTAATAGAAAACAATAAAATTTTGTATATATTTTTTAATATTATATTATATTTTTGAGGTTATAAACACAAAGTGGCGAAAAACATGTTCCATTTGGAAAATTGATGTTCTACAAAATTATAATTTTCAATGAGATCTGCATTTAAAAAAAAACAATAAACATGTTCTCTATACAATCAGTATTATTAATTCTATAAATCTTTATTTTTCCAGCAAAATTTTTGAGGTTAAATTATATTAAATGAATACTCAACGGGTGACAATTAAATTGAAAAATCCCAATCCTCTCTTTGAAGAATGGCTTCTGGAGTGGAGGAACAAGGAAAAAGAGAAGCAATCAAAGATGTATAAATGCTATGATAATGCTTTAGAAGCAATGAAAAAATATCCATTGCCATTGGAAACTGGAAAAGATTGCATGATACTCCAAGGTTTTGGCACAAAATTATGTAATATGATTGATGATAAACTCAAGCAGCACAGAAAACATGATGTACAAAAAAGTAATGATAATAATCTGGTGGTTTGTGATGAACCAAACAAGAAGAAGCAGAAGAAAAGTCCAAGTAAGTCTGAATACACTCCAACCAATAGGTCTGGGGCTTATGCTATATTAATAGCTCTTTATAAAAGTAGACTGGCTTATGATGTTGGTCAACAATTGAAAAACGAAATTATTGAAGTGGCGCAAAAGTACTGTGATAAGTCTTTTATGAAATCTGATGGGTCTAGTCATTATACTGCATGGTCATCTATGAGTACATTGATTACTAAGAAGTTGGTAATTAAAGAAGGTAACCCAGCAAAATATTCATTAACAGACGAAGGGTATGAATTAAGTCAAAAACTAGATTTGCAATTGAATGAGAATGAAGATTGTGCAATTGTTAAGAAATTAGACATTCCAAATAAAAAAGATGTTAGTAAAGAAAGCAATGGAAAGAAACTTCCCAAGCAAACTAAAAGCAAAATTAAGGAAACTACAGAAGAAACTGTTCTGAATGATATATTTTTAACAGCAGGCACTTTTCACATATATTTACTGGTTGATAAACAAGAAACTTCAGGGTAAGTTCCCATATTATTTAATTATTGAGTGATACTAATAAACTTGAATAAACTAATTAGCATAAGGTATACTGTTGTAGAAGCTTTGATTGGTTGAATTGTTGCAAAAAAATTGTTCTATGTACTGTTAATAATTATTTTCAATTGTTTTTATTATTATAAAGTGTAAAGTAGATAGAATCATTAATATTTTGGGCAATTACAATTTTTATAGTTCAAACAAAGATCCAGTTGATGATGAGACTGTTTATGAATTGAATAAGCTTAATGTGGATTATGAAGTGCGGCATCTGAAGATTGGAGATTACGCATGGATTTGCAAAGACAGGAACTCTGGGGAAGAGTTGATTTTGCCGTATATCGTTGAAAGGAAACGCATGGATGATTTTGGGGCTAGCATCAAGGATGGGCGCTTCCATGAGCAGAAATTCCGTTTGAAACAGTGCGGAATTCAGAATCTTATATATTTGGTGGAGAGTATCGATAATAATAAGCATACTGGTCTTCCTTTAACCACCCTGCATCAAGCTGCAACTAATACTCTTATTCAAGACGGCTTCAGCGTCAAGTTCACAGATAGTTTGAAAGATACATTGCAGTATTTAGCAAGCTTCACAAGGATTTTAATTAATATTTATAAGGTATGTAGTGTTTTAAATTCTAATTTCACTATTTTCATTAATAAGGATTTTTTCTCATTTTGGCTTAAACTATAATTTATTAAAAAATCTTTAAAAACGTTTATGTATATCAGGAATTGGCGTCTAATTATTTTTAGACACATTTTTCATTAATTGACGAACTATATACAGCATTATCTCGCATAGTCCAGGTAATCGATCCCGTTCGGACTGTTTGAAACAGAACTAATCGAGGACTTTACAGCCGCTTACAAATAAACAGCACAAAATTACTTGATTGTATTAATGTTATGTATGCAAAAGTAATTGTATTATATAATTTATTTTTATTTTGCTCAATTAAAATGTAGTTTGTTTTTAAATCTTCTATTGTAAATCCGGACTATTCAAAGCCGGACTATGCGAGGTATTGGTTTGTATATATATTCTAATTGGATTATTATAGTCCTTGTAGGATACATCACGTTTTCTGGAAAGGCTTTTACTTGTCCCGTTCACTATCTTCTCCTAATCGTTTTCTATTTGTTTAATTTAATATAGTATATTTTCCAACACAACAATATTAATTTCACACGTTTTTGTGATATTTATACAGAAGAATCATTTAATGTTAGTGAACATTCTTTGAAATATTTTCATAATACATTTCAAATATTTAATTGTTTTATTGCATTTAATATATTTTTTCTTCTTACTCAAAATTGAGTAGCAACAAAGATTGCAATTTACATACAAAACTGCATTCTTTGTTATTTACAATCTATGTTTTAAGACATTTTTTCGGTTTATTTTTGTATGAATTCAATTAGGCGATTAGTCCTATTACCTCGCATAGCTGTTAGTGAAGAAACCTCTTAACAAATTTAGTTTTGTTTTATCTATTAAAACTTTATAAAAGTAATTATGATTTATTAACAATGATTTACATTGGCGAAAAGACATTTGTAACAGTTAATTAATTTTTCCATTTTCTTATGATTATATAAATACGTTTTTATGCATGTTTAACTGTTTATATAAATTAATTATTATACAAAAAAAACAATAACATTTATGAGCATATAAATTCTTTGAATTTCTTAGATAACTGGAAAACATTTCAATTAATAAAACAGTTAGATATTCGCGTTCTTCCAGGTTTTATATAATCTTACGTGTTATGTAACCATTTGCGTTGTTTCTTTTTAATTGTCGCAGAACTACCGTTGCTCGTAGTCAGCTGTGTTGAGGTGTGAAAGTAAAAAAGAAATAATCTTCACGTGCTTTGAATTCCTAAGTTAGCCGTAATATCTAATGTTTAACAATGTAATTAGTAAACAAATATTTAATACATTATCTTATCTAGCTTTTCTATAAAATTTTATATCATCCATTATTATACCAATTTATTTGTTCCAATTATTTAGAGTTAAGTATGTGCGGAATGCCAGATTTATCTTATCTACCGAAATGTTAAAAATAAACAATATTTATTTGTAGTTTTATATAAAAAATATTGCTTATTGTAATTCTTTTAAGTGTAGTTTTATTTATTATTTTAATTTTTATTGTCCCTAATTTGGACCATTGAGCGAAGTGTTTCTGTCCTCATCTTTATTTAATTTCATTAATTTTGAAAAAATATTTTGGAGAAAATGTGTTGTTTCAATAATATTTGAAACGGAAAGTGTTATTTCAGAAATAAAAGATACTTTTAGTTGATAAATTGTAATTTCTATAATAATAGGTATTAATTTGATATTTTAGTAGTTAATTTTTGCAATTTTCGTTGAAACTAATGTCAGTAAATATCAGTTATAAAGTAATCCATTTTATAGGATAAAACGTTAATGGCATGTCCAAAAGAAGACCTAATCAATACATCGATCCAAGATGATCTATTCCCTCTAATGACATTCAAGGAGTTCAATATATCCTCATCAAAAAATAAAGTGAGTGCAAAAATAAAATACATCCAAATATGTATAATTACATTATTTTTTTTAGAAATTCAAAGTTAGAGATATGTTCATTAAGCAATTGCTGCAATTAAAGGGTTTATCTGTGGACAAGGCTTTGGCAATAACTGGCGTCTATCCAACGCCAAAAGCCCTTTACATGAAATATTTGGAGATATCCAACAGCGAAGCAGAAAACCTATTGAGCAATATCAATTTTGGAAAATTGAACAAGAAAGTTGGACCAGTAATCAGCAAGTCCATTTATCAACTATACAATTTGAAATCGTACTGATTCCTTGATTTTAACTGAATAATTCTTTTTAAACTCTACAATAAAACTATTATTTTAAATGATTTTTCTTTTTCGGTGGTTGAAAATTATATTTAATTTTAGTATTTTGCATTGAATTTAACTATAATATAAAAGATAATTTAAATCGCATTTGTACCAATTATTGTTAAAAATGAAGACGTATTTTAAAAGCATTGTTAAATGGAAACATTTATATCATAGTTCCAAGTTTATAATTTTATTATAATATTCAATATATTTTGCTTGCTTATAAAGTTTTTTTTTTCATAAAAAAAAATTATTCATCTCTCCCTAAATGAGGAATTCGTATGAATCGATTCCTGCAGCAGTATATTTCGGAATAAGGGGGTCCATCTTTCAATGCCTCTCCTCTCGTGGTTTTCATTGTTCGAATGATCTGGAATTCCGAGGGGTGCAATTTCGAAGTGCATCGTAGATTGGGGGGCCTTACCGCTTAATTTGTTCGAATGGAAAAGTCTCTGAGGATCCATTAAGAAACACATGTGGGACCAAACATATTGTATATATAGTATTCATGCTTTTATGCTCTCGGGCATTATTTTTACCTTCCATTGAAGTTTTTTAGCGTTGAGATATATACAATCGACCTTTTATGTGATCGAATACTTTACTTATTCTTGTATCGAGCTGAGAATTTGTTAGTATTTGCAATAAGATTGGCCATTAACCACAAGATTATCTCTTGACTATATGATTAACTATTGGTTCCAATAGATTCTTCATCAATGTGTTGCGCAAACGTTTGTGATCTTAAGATTTAACCATTGCATCAGGGATTTTTTTTATTAACAGTAAAATGCCCCATTCAAATCATATCTTTATCGCATGTTGCTTAACTATGTGCACCAGATTTATTTTTGTGTGAAAAGCGGCTTTGTATATTTCCTAAATGATTTGTGTATATAGGAATTAGACTGAAAGTGTTGAAACGATAATAAACAATAGAATATTAGATAAATAGTGTATATTGTTTTACAGTGAATTACATGAATTAATCATTTCTATAGAATGCAATGTACTGAATCGAATTTATCATAGCCTTCTAATTGATGGATCGGATAAACCAATATCGATTATTGAGAAACACAATGTGTAATAATTAATAAATTAGATAAGATAATTCGGATTCGTAATTTCCAAAATTAAATAAATGACTTACACTTACTTACGCACCACTTACACACACGACAAATGGCGATAATATTTTCAATAATTATAAATTAATATCATTCTACAAATTCTCGAAGAGATCCACGCGCCTCGTCGTGTTTCCCTTTCGCACCGCCTGCAGCGTTTTGTACTTGTCCCTACCATCTCTCACATTCTCCCTATGGATTTTATCCTCTTTAGTTTCCAACGCTTCGTTCCTCGTCGATTCCAATTTGGTTTGCAATTGCTAAAAGAAAAAGCAGTTCGTAATTAGTTTTGTAGAATACGAGATTTATTGGAATACCGACCTCCAGCTGTTTACTTAATTCCTCATTCACTTTAGTGAGTTCCGGTATTTCCGAATGAGCGGACGCTACTAAACTCTCCAATTTCTTCTGTTCATCTTCGCGTCTCGCGGTTTCTTCCAGCTGCTGCTGCAGTAATTTCTCTTGGTATTGCTTTGCAGCCTCGATTTCCGATTGAAGCCTCTTTGTTTCTTCATCTTTGGCCGACACTTCTTCGCGGAAAATGCTCAATTCGCTCTGCTTATTCTTGATTTCCTGTTCCAACTTTAATTTCTCCGCGGCCTCCATGTTCTTGCTCTCCTCGAGTCGCTTCATCATCTGCTCCAACTCCCTCTGCTTGCTCTCCAGTTCCTTCTTGGATAACTCGATATCTGCGAGCTGCTTGTTCAGACGCTCTATCGTCTCCTGCGAATCCATCAGGTTCTTCTGCATCTTCTTGATCTCATCCTGCAGTATTTTGATTTCCTCCTTGTACCGTATTTCGACGCTCTGCCGCAACTTCACTTCATCAATAAACTTATCCCTGAAAGTGAATTCAATTAATAACACTTATATTTTTTTGCCTTTTTTAATTTTGTAATTTACTTTTGAGCTTGTAATGCTATCTTCTGGTGGGTCGCAATCTCGCGCATTTGCGCGATCTCCAAGCTTTCCGGTTGCCTCCTGGTTCTGTACAGCTGATGGTAACCGATTCCTAAATTGAGGATTCTCTTGTTCTTCTTCGGGTCTTCCGTGAAGAAGATGAAATCCGCCGCTGCCTTGTCGATTGTCTTGATGATGAACTTCTTACCTTTAAAATTCAAATGTCCAATTTCTGACCACGGGAACATAATCACCGGATTCAATCTGCAATATTCTTAGCATGAAGCACGGCGAATACTGAGGTAAATTCTATGCATACTTGTCTTCGAGTTTGAAAACGTTCAAGCCCAGAGGGTAGACGCCCATCAGCACTTTAGACCCTTTGTTGTTGAAAATCGAGAAGTAATGAATGCCGAACATCTCCAAATTCTGCACGATTTTCAAGTACTCCAGCATACCCTCATCGCTGTTCATACCCAGATGCTTCTTCCACATGGAAATTATCGCAGTAAGAAACTCCGTCTTGTTCAAATTATATTGCTTATACACCCTGGAATTTTAATATTAAGAATACTGCTTTGTCAAAAATCCATTTGAAACTACCTTTCCGGTAGGAATTTCTCCTTCTCAAGCGCGAGTCTGTCATCGTAATCGCCGTACTTCACTTGAGCAAAGTAAGATGCCAGCAAAATGCAAGTGTCTGGTGGGCAGTAGATGTTATCACTCATTATGTCCGATCGCAATTGCAAATAGAAATGCTTCAACGTAATATGTTCGATCAGATCTTGCTGCACATCCTCCGGACAGTATTTGACCATGAATTGGAGCTTCAAAGCCATCGGCCTGTAAATGCTCATTTTCTAAAGCGGAAGATGTTAAAATATTGAAGACTAATTTAGATTAAATTCGATCTGTACCTTTTTGGAAGCGTCGATCCATATCTTCTCCTGGGATTCGTTCATGAAGTACAATCCGAAGAACCATGTTTCCCTGATGCCTATGCTCTTGCAGATGTGCAGGAACAATTCCCTCGCCGATTTGTTTGCCGCTATGGAAAATTCCAACTCCTTTAGGACAGTCGTAACGCGCACCCTCACCGAAGACTGCAAGTTTTCATTATTGTTAATAAAATTCGCTCCATTTCAATTATTTTTTGGTGGCACCAATCACTTACACCCATCTTAATGTAAATAGAACACGTTCGACGTTCGGAAAGGTAATTTTATCATGATCACAGAATCGAAGGTTCGGTTGTTGCCGTTATCTGGTGTCCAGATTAGATTGCGATTTTTGTTTATTATCAATATCAACTCCCTCTCCAGATATTCTATTCCATTTTGCCCACTGTACTAATCGTCGCACTTTTTAAGTTGAGTAATTTTATACTTTGGTTTTTATCGTCCGAGAAAGATTAAAGTATTTATACAATACTTATAAATGTTTATACACAAAACACACACACAAACACCGCGACTATGACAAACGGAATGATGTAATCAAATATTTCTGTGCAATTGCCTCGCAGGTAGATAATGTTATATTACAGGTTTCTCTCCTTGTTCGATTTATGCGGAAAGGTGAACAACGCGACGATCACCTGGCGATAACGCGAATTCTATGCGTTAATAGATAAGCGAAGGCATTGCATTTCGACCATTAAACAGTTGATAATATACTCGAGTTTTTGCAATTTTTGTATATATTAACTACTCATTGTTGTTGCTTTTACATTTCTGTACACAATATAACATTTATTATTGTAAACAGTGATCAAATAAAAATCGAAGAATAATTGTTACTCTTGAAATGTTTAATCTTCTAAGCACAGATTGTTGTTAGTTTAAAAAAAATAGTACTTACGTTTGTGAACTCGTTAAATATTTGCTTAAATTTCGCTTTTATTCTCTTATCAAAAAAAGCCGGATTACTTTCCATTTGGCTGACTTCTTACGTAGTTATTTGCACGACTTTGCTTGCAGTCAAGGTTCGAATGCAGCGTTTGCGGTTTTCTGCAGGTAAAATTCAAATCTATTGTTTCTTTTTGAGGTGATTAGCGACGTCTAACGATTTCGAGTCCGCGCGAACGAATGAAAAAATTGTGTCTTTTTTTCTGCGGCGGCCTTCGTAATCTTCTTAAAACTAAATGTGAAGGATACCAATATTGAGGCGAGAGTGTGCAATATAACAGTTACATGCTTCATCGGCGCTTCGAATCGCTTTGTTTATTATAACTAGATGATATTTAATATGCATAGTTATACAGCATTTCCAACGTATGAATCATTTTGTCAACGGCGATTTGTATCGAAGACATCGAGGTGGTGAGCATATAGAAAACGCATCGCGATTGCAGATGGTTTTTGTTGCACTTTTGAACTCACAAAAAACAATGTTATTAACTCTTTGGTGTTGTCTTTCAAATTTAAGTAATCCCTCAACTGTCTCCGGCTTCGACCTCAAATAACTCGATAGAATATTCTACGAGCGTGCGCGACTCCGCGCGACGACTTCGTTAAAGTCCATCTAGAGTAGAAAGTAAAATGTTCTCTATTTAGAAAAAAAAAGTTTCTACCATTCGATTTCCGAGAGTTGCTTTACTGTATATATTTTGATGCGATGTTGTTAAATGAATCGCTTTGTTTGGAGTACGTTGCGAAAACATAATTAAATTGAATAATCCCACTTGGAAATTCCGATGCGATGCGTCTTCTTTGGAGATGAGCTTGATTTTATATGAATAAAATTGCATGCATATGAGATCATATATAATATAACTAAGAATAAAAGGTTACACAAGTAACAACATGTTTTTTTATATAAAATATTATTCATGTTTAGGTGAAGGATTTAAAACCTTCCAATCCATACAATTTTTTAATTCGATAAATAAGTAATATATCCAAAAACTTATAAAACATAATAAAGTTAACAACTTATTGCTATTTCTTACAAACAAATTTCTAATAATATAATACATCAATTATTTGTAATATCTTAAGAATATAAATATATTCTTATCCGTTTTTATTATAATATATTTAAATGAAATCCTTTAGATCCATTCAGTTCTTTCAATAAACCGCGATACACAAGTAATATTTCCAAAAGGATATAAGAAATAACAAAGATAATACAAATGATCGTTATTTCTTTTTAAACACATTTAGTAAAAAAACATCAAAATTTTGTAATTTCTAAAGAATATAAATACATAATTTTTGTACTATTATAAATATTACAAGTCATTTAATATCCTGTTTCATTCATTTTAGTTTTTATTCTATAATAAAATCCTTCAAATTCATTTTTTTTAATTCTATAAACCTAATCTAAGTACATGTAATATTTCCAAAAAATAATAAATATAATAATAAACTTATCGTGGAAAACTTTCTTAGAAATATAGATTATAAAAACACATCTTTACTTTGTCATTTCTTAAGAATATAAATATATATGTTTGTTCTATTATAAATTTTATAAGTTACTTAATATCATTTATTCTGTCAAATTAGTTTTCATTATATACTAAAATCGAGGCACAC